TATTGCATAATAGAAGTTTTCACACATCTGACACAGCAATTAAACACAGCATCTTAAAATAGCATTTTGCAGTTGTATGTGTTTTAAATTATTAACAAACAGATAAAATGAGCTCAGAAAATGTCACATCCCAATAGGTGTAACAACGAACATCAGAGATGGAGATGAGTTGATGGTGACATGCTGGCAGACAGAGGCAACACCTATATTTATAACCTTGCAGGGTGATGAAAGGAAAATATTTTTTGGTTACCTTGTCCAAAAACCCATTTTTTCTTGTTATGCTCTTAGTTTGAAGTACAGATATTATATTCATATTTAGTAAACAAATGCTGAACATTTTTCATGGGACTTCTACAAAACAGCTATAGACAAAGGACTGTCTATTCCATCGCAGTCTCAGATGCCCAGCTAAAATAGCTCACCAATTTACCTGTGCTTAAAGAGTCCTGCATACATGTGTGCTAACTTTCCTCTAGTGAGGTTCTTTAGCAATTCTCCATGTGATACTAATTATTGTTATTTCCAGCCTAAGTACCCACTCATGAAAGGTACTCCTTAATAAACACTTGTCAAACTATAGTCTCTGTACTGTATCAAGAGTAAACAACATAGACATGATTTTGTGTTAGGAACAGCAAAGCAATGCAAAAGCACATCTACACATAATGCACATACATGCAGAAGGTGGGCCAGAAGATAGCATCAGATTTCCCACATATTACCGACCCTTCACCCCCTGTGTGAACTCTTGAAGTTTACTTATCGTTCAAAGTTAGCTTTCTTCGACTCGACGTGTGAAACAGCGATGCACTTCCTACTCAGTAGGGGAACAACAAGTAGGAGTGTAATCATTTCGCACACTGCCATGCTGTTAAATAGCTAAAAGTCCTGTTCCCACTGTGTAGCCTGCACAGTGACTGAAGGCGCTACATCACATGTTGGAACGAACTGTCACCAATAGTCTCAGCTAACTCTGAACACTGTACACAACAATAGTAACCAGTCAGCCAAAATGAACACACCGGTATAGCGGAAGTCTGTTACGAGGGATGACGAATCACTTTCTGATTGGAATTAATGCTCATAACCACAGTAGGGAATTTATATGGGGTAGTTTTAATAGGGTCACAATATCACGGCTGGTGAGGTCTCAGGCCTTTGTGGGAAAGCTTTTTCTGTTCTTTACTAAAGGCACAGGATGTTTTGCCCCAGTGGTCACTAGTGACTACAGAGGCTCATTACTGAAAAAAGTGCAAAAAATAAACAGCTGTTGAGTGCCTGTCCATAAATGACACATTCATAATATCTCCATAAACCCTTCCAAGGTATAGGGAACATCACAGAAAGGGCAGCAAATATAGAGCTGGGGGAAGGGAGATACGCATGTAACACTGATTTCCAGCTATAACACTGCTAGAGACTTGAACTCAGTGCTGTTATGACATACAGAAGTTCTCCACACTAGTTGGACTATGTGCACTCTGTCCTGGAAGGGCTCCTCATGGGTTTATAGATAGATAATGGTAATGGAAACAGATAGCAACTTTCTAGACTCAAAAGTACCTGGTAAGTGCCACTTTCTATAAACAAGCTATCACTGTGTTTCTTTTAACAAGCTAGTGAACTTAATGAGACAAACATATATACACACACAGAGTAAGAGAGAGAGAATGTAAGAGAAGAGGACGGAAATAAACAGAAAGAAGAGGGGCAAGAGAAAATGAATGGACTGAATATATTGAAATATATTTTATACATGTGTGAAATGTCATAATATTCCCTATTACTCTTATTAATATATGGGTTATTAATATATGCTAATAAACAATTTCTTAAAAGAAGTGTTGGCTCTCTTCCATTTCTTTGTCTTTGACATTGAATTAGAAACAACCTTTCTTTACCCTGACTAATAAATTTCCAGACTAGCACAGGAATGTGGCTCTTATATAATTTTAGCATGTAGTCATCAAAATGTATATAAACATTTTATCTAAAGACACACAATACATATGAATACAAATAATTTCTACTGTGAGAATTTTAGTACTTAGCATCAGTCTAACAAGACAAAGAAAAACTTCACCAGCATTGTGAATGTAACAAAAGTTAACAGTAACTGAATTAATCTATGGCTCATCCAAATAAAATTTAAAACACAGGGGAGACTGTGGCTGAGGTGTTCAGATGACACCTGTTGAGCATGTAAGTAGTTACTGAAGCAAGATAGCACCACAGGCTCTAAGGTTCTGCTCAGTGATTTCTCTTCGTCTCATTGTGATACAATGAAACTGTTTTCACTACTGGGAAAGTTTATACTACTGATGTCGATTATTAAAAATCTCTTAAATCAAAGAATCGTGATAAATTATAGAAATTAAAAAACCTTTTTACAGGTAACTGGAAGAATTAAATAAAAACAGTAAGAAGTTAATAACAGTTATGGGCAATCAGTAAGAACATTTTGTAAGCTTAACTTTTTCTTGTTTTCTGGAGCCTTACAATTAGTAGGAAGAAAAATAATCAGCATTCCCCAGTTTTTCATAGGAGAGTGTATGTTTCTTAATTGTAGAGCAATAAACGTCATAACTAACCATTCCTTTGAAGAAACATGTTTTGAGGTAGTTAATTCTTATTCTACAAGAAACTCTACAATTTCTTATTATTGTGTAAATAATTCTAAATATCCATTTCACTTGTACGCCACCTCCATAATAGGACTTTAGAAGACTTTTAGGTCTCATTTTATTTGGTGTACTACATTAAAACTTACAATATCAGTTACCAAAACATGACTGCACCCCAGAAACCACGCTCAGCAGAAACCTGTCAAATACAAGGAGGTTCTACACCTTTTACTCCCTTATTCAAATAAGTATGCACTGCAGATGAACATTCTAGGAAACTTAAGTAGTTTTAAGTTTATGAAAACTTCCTCACAACTTAATCAGTAACCAGTTAATGTCAGCCCTTTTAGCTGGCAAACTCATTCTCTTTATATATATAAGAGAATGTGTGTGTATGTATGTATGTATGTATGTATGTATATATATATATATATACATATAAGTATACACATCTATGTATATATATACACACACACATATATATACACATCTATTTATCTATCTATCTGTCTGTATATCTACATATATCCCAAATTGTCCGGGAAGAAAAAAAAAAAGAATGATTAAGTTGATGAGAATTTTGCTGGGAAGTTTGGTCAATGAAAAAAGCATGTATTTTCCCATAGGAAACCAGTAGGCGGTACCAACTCTAGTATTTTACCTTCCACAGTTTTAAACCCAAAAACTCCAGAAGAGGTGGTTATTATAAGGATTGCATAGTTCCTGGCTCATTTAGGGGAGGTAGGAATTAGAATGATTTGGAAGCCACAGATAGAAATATAAAATATAGAGTTGATCTAATGAAAAATTAACATTAAATAAATGAAAGCATAAGAGGACAAAAGGCGTGTTTTTTATAGAGAGGGTTCTACTGGAAATTCCTTCAAATCAGATAACAAGTGTTGGTTAGCCAGTCTCAAGAGAATATTCTGAAGTAGGGACAAAACCAGCCTGTTAATGGACACCAATGTTTTCTTATTCAAGTTATTTCTTCCTTACTTGCTCTGCTCTTTTTATTTTGTTTTGAATTTCAAAGAACTAAAAAGTTTATCAGCATGTGACCTACAGAAAGTATTATATCCACACATCATTTTAAATGAACAGTTCCACATATGTAAAACATCATAATTTAAAATATATATTTTTTAAAACAGAATATTGTAAATGACTTTGAACTGTATTTTGTTTGCTGTCTGACCCATATGAAAGCCCATATTTGAGAAATGACCTCACTGTACAAAATAATGCATTCCATATTTGGGTTTAGAGTCATAATACAAGCTTCAAATTTTAGAACTATGGTAGGCTCCTCTCTTGTCCTCTAGAGGGGCATAGGGGGAGAAGGAGGAGGGTGGGTGGGACCGGGAGCAGATGAGGGAGTGGGCTACAACCAGGATACAAAGTGAAAAAATTGTAAATATCTGTAATAACAATAAATTTAAAAAAATAAAATATTTAGAACTATGAACTTCAAGCAATAGAGTGGTGTTTGCAGACAGTAAAACGATCTTTTTCTCATTCAAAAAGGCAATGGGCCTTCTTAATAAATAGCTTCCTGTCCACAAAATAATGAATGAATGAATAAATGAATGAATGAATGAATAGTAAAACACACACATATCTGCAACTTGCAAGTCTTAGAGTTAGTTATACAAGCGTGGTACAGGTAAAATGCATAATTTCCCTGATACGACAATGAATTTTAAACTTCCATTGGAGTCCTTATTCTTTTGCTGCAATGCATAAAACACAAAACACCAAACTTTTCATGTCACAAGCTGCACATACAGAAATTTTATGAACCTTCAACTTGAAAAAAAAAAAAACCCTATAAAATAAGTTATTCATTCTTTTGCTATAGGTCCTTGTTTTTCTGAAGTTTTTTTAGATGACCTAGAAAAATCTTAATAAGGTAAAAAGTAATTTCATTTATATTTATTTTGTCATAACTCAAACAATGAGAAATTCAAAACTGATTTTCTCATTTGGCTGGAAAAGGAAGAAAATGAAAGGTTCAGACTCAACCTAGTTCATCCTCCGATTTTAAGATTCAGTCTATGTCTGTCTTATGTTTATTTGGGGACTGAATTCTCCCACAGATTACGTTACTGTGAAAAGTAGAAAAAAAAATATATATATATATTTATTGCCTGCTAGTGCATCTCTGAAAAGTGTTGCTGAGTTTACTAGAGGCATGCAACAGGGCACTCAAACACCACAGAAAGCATTCAACACTTCAGCAACACTGGCCACCTTCAGCAGCCCTTTCCTCTACCCTGTCCTCAGGTCTGGCGAGGGGGCACCTGATAACCAGTATCAGGTGCTTAAGAGAGGAACCCTGTCTATTTAAATTAAGAAAGGATAATTTTCTACCTTGCAGGCGTTGTCTCATGAAACCCAAGTGAGCACGGACACAAGTGACCATTCCCTCTCCTCGAAAGACACCAGCAAGGGCTTAAAACCAACGCACTGGCGAGGGGGAAGCATGAGGAAGACAGCGCTGAAGATGTAAACCCGCCGGAGCTGGCGGAGCCGGCTGGGAAGGACCCACTGCACTGCCCAGGCAGGGCGCGGAGGCGAGAGAGGAGCGCTCAGGGACCGCTGCCATCCTAGAAACCTCCAGCTCCGGCCGCCTGGCCAGCAGCCAGCCTCTCGGTGGCCGCGGTCCCCGCCCCTTCACCTCTCCGTCTCTCTGGCCAGGAGGGCCCTGCTGCCCCACGGCCAGCGCCCCGCGGGGCCCTCGGCTTCTGGCACGGCGGGTGGCTCAGGCCAACTTGCCCGACCGCCCGCGGCGCCGTGGCCCCCCGTGGCCAGCACCAGCTACACGCCTCGCCAGAGGAGGGGGATGCGCGCGTCTTCAAAACAATCGCGGCCCGGAGAGCACTTTGGTTCTGCCTCCGAGAGCGGCTTTTCCCGCTGCGGGCTCGGACACGGCCAGGAATCGGCGCGCACACGCGCACACACCCTCATACACACACACCCCCGCGCGCGCACAGACTTCTTGGCCAGCGTTGCCATCACACACCCGGGGAACGCCACCGAAGGGGCCAAGTACCTGCTCTCTGCTAGCTGTTGTGCTGTTCACTTCATCCTCCGTTGACAAGGAAACCAAACCGCACTTCATTTTTTTTTTTTTTTTCCAGAAAAACCTTCCACTGCCATCATTTGAAAATTGATTTACGGGGAGGGGAGAAGGAGGAAGAAGGGATAATATAGATATCAGGATATCTATCATAAAATTATCTCGGTTTTTTTTTTTAAATAAAAAAGTCAAATGTGCAAAAGCCATAGTTAATGTAAAGGAGGGAAAAAGCATTTGCTTAAAAATAATCCATTAACTACCTGCAAGAAAAGTTTCATGTTATCAACTGATATCAAAAACAGGAAGGGAAAAAACGAAATGTTTCTCACAGGCTTCCAAAAAGGTCACAAAAAGGCAAAATTAATGTCTTTGCTCAGTGGTGCGCATCGAATTGCAAGACGGCAAACTTGTGAAGACGGCTGGAAAATCCCACCTACACAAAAATGGAATTGGAAAAAGGGTATGTAAAAAAATAGTTAGAAACATGCTTTCTTATCTTTACAAAGGGGGGAAAAATAGGCACCACACTTCACCACGCTTTTCCCATAAAACCAGTTGCACATTTTGCTGGACTTGGGAGCCGCTCTCAGCGAGCAACGCCACCGCGGACTCCCAGACACAGCGCCTTGTCTAGAGAACCATCGCATGCTAGGAAAACTTGATTCAGGAAAAGGCTCAAGACCATGCCCGTCAGCTTTCCCAAATACAAACAATAATCAAAGAAGTGGGAAGAAAAAAAAAAAAAAGAAGAAGAAAAACAAAAACAAAAACAAAAAAAAAAAGGACAAAAATAAAAAAAAAGAATAGGACAAGAATGCCACTGAGAAGGTACTCACCGAGCGGGAGTAAAATGTTGGAATAAAAATGAGATTTAGGAAAATACAGTATGGCGGTGGAAGATGGAATGAAGCGCGTTTTTTTCTCAGTCTCTGCCTCGGGCACTGACACGTGACTCGGAGCCAGGCGGACTTGCAGGCGGCGTGGGGACCGCGCTGCTGGGCGACCTCGGAGCCCTCAAAGCCCTGTGGGCCGCTCGGGCGAGCACGGCGGTGGGAGCCCGGCGAGGCGGCCTCCTCGGCGAGCCGGGACTAGCAGGTGCCGCTCACGCTGGGCTGAGCGCACGCACACGCACACGCAGACGGGCAGGGCGCGGGCTAGCGGGGACCGCGCGGGGCGGGCCGGAGGCGCGCAGCTGCCGCCGCCGCCGCCGCCGCCGCTGCTGCTGCTGGTGTGGCCGCTGGTGCTGATGCTGCGGGCGCTCCGCCAAAAAGGGGCAGATTAAGGATGCTCAGCGGAGGCCTCAGAGAGTACCCAACTTGCTGCCCACTGCAAAGTTGCCGCTTGCCACTTGCTTATTTTCTGGCTGTCATCTCCAGGTAGTTTCCTGTGGAGAGCTCCTACCCCTCTCCCCAAGTTTCACTCAAGCCCGGATTAACTGGATCATTTTATTCATTTGATCTCGGAGTTCCTATTTCTTGTAAACTGCTTTGCCTATGTCACTTCCTCCCCCTAGGAACAGTTCCCACCTTGTGGTTCTCGGGGAACCTGGATTTGCTTTACGGGGCAGGGGGCGTTGTCACTGCAAAGCCAACGTCAATCCCTTTGGCTGTCTGGGAGTGTTCCCCATTTGAAAGATAAAACAAAATCTTTTCTTTGGAAAAATCCCATCCAAGGTTTCCTTTTGCTTGTTGCATAGAGGGTGAACCGGGGTGTGGACTTGGATAATTTATTCTTTCGTGGGCCAGGCATTGTTTGTTTTATATGCTTGAGCAGCAGCTTTGACCTGTCTGGAAGGCTCTGTGGGGCCGTGCTCTGGGCAGGATCCTTCCTGACTCCTGCAAGTTGTTTTCTCAGGCTGCAAGTCCAAGGAGAGGAGCGAGGGAAACAAGTGAGTCCATTGTGTGAGTGCTTGCCCGGCAGCAGGCACCTGGCGGATGGTCGAGAGGGGGAGACGTGCGCCACTCACCAGAAGGCAGCCAAACCTCAGCCATGAGCCAGGCGGCTGAGCAGTGCTTTGGAAGGTGGAGGCGAAAGAGGGAGTTCACTCAGCATCTGCTGCGGGATGCTCCTCGCTGGAACAAAGATGTCATTAACCAATCACTGCTTTAAGATTCTTCTCCTGCTGCCTGTTGCAGAATCAGCTTTCTGGGTTCTGCAGTGCATTAATTTTTCTTCATCTTTAATGCAATATTCATAGCAAAACCATTTCTCCATGTTGCTTTGAATCTGGATTGCACAAAATTAATTGCCACGTCTGCATTTTAAAATGAAAATAAAATACCGTTTTCTTGGCTCTCACATTTCTGCTCTGATCTTTATCTCACTCTTTCCAACGTTGATGTTTGAGATAAAATGTCTGCGCTGGAAGGAGTCTTGCCTGAACAGTTTCAACATTTAAGTACGCATTCATTATGGAGAGCTCCAGCAGCAAATGTTTCTCCAACATTCTAGGCAAAATTCACTGGCCAAATAAAGTATTAACCCACAATTTAAATAAAAGGTATTTAAAATAACCATTAAAATCGTTAAATATTTATCTTGGTGAATTGCCAGCTGGACCCACTTATACACACTCCCCAGAGAGGTTGCAAAATGCTGACAGAGATGGATGGGTGCATCAAAGTGGATTCCAGAACTTAGGAACTTAGCCTTGAGTTCTCTTCAGAAGCTATTGGATTTTCATCTGCGTAACCCAGAGCAAAAGTTGTGTGCTGTGTGCAGATCATGTTGAACTTCATTCTTTTTTTTTTTTAAATACATTCTTTCAGACACGGCTCTTTTCTTTCATGTCTTATGGATTATGCTATTTAAACCTGAGTTTGTTACATTTTCTATTCCATCAAAATAACACAGATCCAAATACACTAAAGAGAAGTCTGTTCTAATGCATATCTTCCCCCATTAACTTATGGAGATATTGAAATGTGAGCAACTTCAGTTTAAAAATGAGTTTTGGAGCTTTGGATCAGGCCAGGCAATGTCTGGGTTTAGAGAGTTATTCAAGAAGAACTTTGAAAACCAAGCTGTTTAGAATGGCACTGCAGTAATGGCTGCCAGCCAATCACAGTGATTGTCAGGCTTTTATTATTCAATAAAATGACTCCCCTTTATGTTTAATGCAGCTCTGCTGAGGAAAAGCAAGCTATCAATATCCTCCTTGCGCTTCTTCCACTTACTTACATAATTGCAGACCAGTGCTTAAAATATTCCACCACTACTTATTTCCAAGACGCCATTCTCCTCTTTCTCGGTTGCATCACCACATTAAAAACAAAAGTAAACAAAGTCAGATTGAACGAACAGCATTTTCAAAGCAGAGACTGTTGTTTAATTCTTATACATCTCTGTGGCATAGGCATTGTTATCCTCATTTTGAAGATTTAAGAGAACAAAGTCAGAGTTTAACTCATCTGCGCAAGATGCTATTGCTATGGCAGAGAGAGATGTAGTCGGACTAGAATCTAGTTTCACAGCTAGAATAAGGTACTTCAAAAACTACATTCAAGAAGCTAACTCTCAGAAACTGTTGTGGATATTACCTAACAGAAGTATGCTTTTCTAAAATTTAGTATATCCAGAGAATATTGTGGAATTAAGTGAGCTGCATTGTTCTCCCCAAGAAACAGTTATAGCACGTATAATTTTATTGGCATTTTTATTTCATGAAACAGAAAAAAGGACATAAATATTTAAATTATAATAAGCTTCATATATAATAATACAGAATAAAGCACAAGTAAAAAAAAAATACTTCAAATGGAGACTGTTTAAAGTTTCCTAAGCAAAATGCAAACAAGTTTCCTAAGCAAAAAAATCGTCAACAGATGTGCTTATATCATCATGCTCTGCTCATGTCTGCAACAGTTAACCACAGAAGCTTTCTGGAGGTTTGAATAGACAAATGCCTTTTCTGATTCTGCTCTGAATTCAGCCATGCAGCACATGAAAGTATGAAGTATACTAAATTTCAGATTAGACCACTAAGCGATGATGCTAGAGGAAAAGTCTGTTTTGAAATCTAGGCAGTGCAATTTCAACTTTTTGTCAGAAACATTTCAAGACATATGAAATATTTATGGGCACAAACATATGGATATAGCCTTAGTTGGAAATTATGTATTATATAATAATACAATTTTAAATAGGCATGTTTATATCCAGCGCCCTTAAATCACTTTTAAAAAATCTTGATTGGTAATTTGTTCTTAACGTTTTGTTGTTTTTCCTTCATTATTTGTTCTGTTCTTACTAATCAAGATCCATTTCAAGCTTTGATGGTGCCGTGTATGTTTCCCAATATTCTTATCTGAAGAAAGTACAATAACAATAGTAAAACCATCATGTGCCAGTTGCCCAAGATGCCCAGATAAAAATGAAAATATAGATAATACAGCACGAGTAAAGCAATACAGGAAGAAGTATCTGGAATTATGTGTGATTTAGTTGTAAATATCTAACTCTTAACATAAAATAGTTTATTGAATTCAAAGATGTTCAGATGGATCTATAAAAGATAAACCAAATTGTTATGATTTATGTATTTATATATTAAATGAATAAG